CTTAGCTATTTTTTTGTCTGATGCTGTTGCCTTTAGTTGAAAGGAACCACTAAGTTTGATGAATCCAGTTGAGATCATGCATGGGCAATTCTATTAAAAAAAAAAAAAAAAAAAAAACGAAAAGACAAAAAAAAGAGGTTGACATCATTGATTGGGTACGGTACAAAAGAAAAAGAAAAAAAGCTGGGGGTCTATGTGACAAATAGAAAAATTTGTGTAAAACGGGATACCAAAATACTGTTTTCCGCTGGATCGACCTTCTTCAACACTTCACAAATTGCAGTAGGGACTAGGGAGGAAGGAGGAAACGAAAAGAGAAAAATGCCTCCCCTTGTCCTCAAAACTTTTTCTCTCTCTAAATCTGTGAGACGTGCCAGCATGTCATGATTCATATCAACATATGACATAAATTTCAAATGTCCCCCATTTATTGTTATCTTATTCACACTGTAACCATTATTGCATATCTACTGCATAAACCCTAACTAAAATACTAAAACTGAAATTCAAATAAAATGTAAACTCCAATAGAAAAAGGGATTTCTATAAACAGGGCATGGGGAGATGAGAATGGCACACAGTCCAAATTAAAATAAAATCTCTCTCATGAGACAGACTTTGACGGCTCATGTGACTGACTGCCTGCCTGAAATTTGCTCCACCTGACCAATGTCTCGTCGTCCTCCTCCTCCGCATTCCTCCTCCTCCTTGCTGCTTGTTTTGTTGGTGTGGGCAGCCGCCACCACTTCTAGTACTAGTAGTGGTGAAGGATCTTTGGGTGTGGTGAAAGTAGATCCAGCCCTCAAGTTTGAGAACCCAAGGCTTCGCCAAGCCTACATTGCCCTCCAAGCTTGGAAGGCCGCCATCTTCTCGGACCCATTCAACTTCACCTCCAGCTGGAATGGCTCGGACATGTGCTCCTACATGGGCGTATTCTGTGCTCCTAAGTCCACCGGTGCACAGGGCCGTGTGGTCGCCGGCATCGACCTCAACCACGCTGACATTGCTGGCTATCTGCCTCCAGAGCTAGGCCTCCTCTCAGACCTGGCGTTCTTCCACCTCAACTCCAACCGCTTCTGCGGCGTCGTCCCTAGCAGTTTGCGGCGCATGAAGCTGCTCCATGAGCTCGACCTCAGCAACAACCGCTTTGTGGGAGACTTCCCCAAAGTAGTGTTCTCCTTGCCTTCCCTCAAGTACTTGGATCTCCGCTTCAACGAGTTCGAAGGCTCCGTTCCCTCCCAGCTCTTCGACAAGGATCTGGATGCCCTTTTCCTCAACGACAACAGGTTCCAATTTGGCATCCCTCCCAATCTCGGCAACTCTCCCGTTTCGGTTCTGGTGTTGGCCAACAACAATCTCGGGGGTTGCATTCCTGGCAGCATTGGTAACATGGCCAAGACGCTCAACGAGATCATCCTCTTGAATGACAATCTCACCGGCTGCTTGCCTCCCCAGATCGGCCTCCTCACCAATCTCACGGTGTTTGATGTCAGCTTCAACCGACTTCAAGGGCCTCTTCCCTCCACCATCGGCAAAAACATGAAGAGCTTGGAGCAGCTGGACGTGGCCCGCAACAGACTCACGGGTGTCATTCCAGCCAGTATTTGCCAGCTACCTCGTCTGCACAACTTCACCTATTCTTTCAACTATTTCACCGGAGAGGCTCCTACTTGTGCTGCTACTGCTGCTAACAAAAATAATATCAATGGTCGCAAGAACTGCATTCCTGGTAAGTTGAATCAGAGATCTGCAAGGGAATGTGCTTCGCCAGCTGCACGTCCCGTGGACTGCCGCAAGCTCCAATGCAGCAGCACTACTAGTCCTAGAGGCGGAGGGGGCAGTGGCGGGGTTTCTAAGAGAAGGCCTCCTCGGGTTTCAACACCTTCAGCTCCTGTTGGGAATAAGCCGCCTGCTCAACGAAGGCCTCCTCGGGTTTCAACACCCCCACCCCCGACTTCAGAGTCATCACCTTCCACTAGATCACATCCTCCACCACCATCAAGCCCTTCTTCTTCTTCTTCTCCGCCTCTAGTGCCTAATAGAGCACCTCCTCCTTCCAATTCCAATTCCCATTTCCATTCCCCTACAAAGCCTCCGCCACCTACTCAAAGAGTTTCGCCCAGGACGCATCTTCCACCTTCGCCCCCTCCATCTAATAGTCATCATCATTGGACTTTGACACCACCACCCCCACCTACCCAAAATGTGTCACCAACTACTCATCTAAGACCACCTCCGCCGCCGCTGCCCACGCACTACAACTCCTCTTCTTCCCCACCACCACCAGTACTTTACCATGCTTCCCCACCTGATCACTCTAAACATGATCTAGTGCCGCCATTACCTCCAAATCATTACTCGTATGCTTCACCACCACCACCACCGCAACTCTCGGCGCCGCCACCTCCACAGCACTCAGCCCATGTCCCATCTGCTCCGAGCTATCATACTTACACAAGTCCACCACCTCCACCTCTACCTTCATCACCATCTTCACCGCCACCTCCGCCACCTCCACGTACACCTCCACCAACACATGAGCAGTATACAAAAGCACCACCTCCTTCCCCCGCACATGAGCATTATCCATCAAAAGCTCCACCACCACCCGCAAGTACAGGTGGAAGTCCCCCACATGATACGCCATCAGCCCCTTCACCAAATGAGCCATCGCATCCCTTACCTCCTCTGCCGCCCACCGGTTGTGTGATTCCTGCATCACCATCACCACCACCCCCACCAAGCCATCATACCATGCCATCACCCACATTTCAATTTGTACCCCCACCTTCATCAAGGCATCACCACTCACCTCCCGAACAACAGCATTGGCATCAACCACCACCATCATCGCATCAACAGTTTCCTCCCCTGTCCCCATTCGATAGCACACCGCTTCCACCAGTTATAGGAGTGTCATATGCGTCTCCTCCTCCCCCTGTAGTTCCCTACTACTAATTCAGTGATTTCTAGCGTATGTTTAAGAAGAATCACAATTCTTTTGCTGCGAATGAGTAGACAACAACCCTGCATATATACAGTAGCAAGGATCAGTTCCGTATCTTTCGTGTGCGAATGTTGTTCTTCTCGGTTTTAAGATGCAGTTTATCCTCTAAGGGGTTGCTACCGTTGCTTCAATTTATAGCAATAATAGTTTCATTGCTGCTTGCCTATTCCTATCCATTTGTATTCTCATAACTTTATTTCATTCTCCGATACAGCCAAGCGGATGGATTTTCATTAAGAATTAAAGTTTGTTTTGTCACACACTATGGTTATGTATGTCTTGGTATCAATTAGCATACTCAAACGGTTTTAATTCTATGACATGCTTACTTACCTTAGAACGGAGGGTAATGGGTATTGAAAATATACATATTTCTGATTTCCATGCATCTACTAAGATGTGGATATCGAAATTATTTCGACCCTAATTTACCCAGCGGTTACCATGACATATGGAATAATAAAACAACTGTGAACTCCGCATTAAAATCCATAATCCAATACCTTAAAACCATGAATTAGATTGATTGATGGGAGAGTAATTGATCCCATCCTATGTGCATTCATTCTGCGTTTCTGACTTTCCCAATTCATGACTTCTAATTCCAAGTAAGAAAACATGACATTAGTTGGCATTGCCGAAATTACAAATGCACCGGCTTGTCCGAAGTCTCCCATGTGGGCTTCTCTTAATAACCCTAATAATGACAGTAAGAACTTGAAAAATAATAGCAATTATGATATGAAAAGCAATTGCATATGTTACATGGAAGCTACACTGATCTTATTTATGTCAACAATATTGCGCACAATAACTAGAGTACTGCACCCATTACCTGTGCTTCACCCCAAGTGAACTTCTGTATATGTACCTATATAAAGGGGTGGCACGAGGATTAACTAAAGTGAAAAATCTATTTCCTGGGTAACCGAAAAACAAAACACATTACAAGACTCAATTAGCCCCAAACACGACTTTCTTCACAATGAAAGGCCACACAAGACATAATCCATGAAGGACAACCACAAACGGTATCATCCAAAACGGATCACAATGCATGATATATCATCTTTACTCTTTCTTGCCAGTGCTTCAGTTGTTAGACGCTTTGCCGCTACTTGTGGATCTTTTATGGGTTTCACCAAATCTACTGCCTCTTGATTCTTCATAACCTGCCAACCAAAGCATACCACATATTGAACTACAAGGGAGTAACAAAAGAAAGAATCTTTGTCCTATTACAAGTCCAAACCATATCCAAAAGGATTGAGAACACATCTTGCATCCCCTGGCAAGGAGAATACCACCCAAGGCAACAACTTCTTATTAGACTCAACCACTACAACAAGACCACTGGCTCATATGTATAACTTCTGTTAGTGATAGAAAGTTACCAATATACCCATGACTCCTTAAACTAACAGCACCCAAATACAATAAAAAATAGTACTATTGTAATAGGAAAGTACTAATGACACTCATGTTTAGGTCGAACAGTAATGTTGTTGCAAATGTAACTCAGCCATTGATTTCCAAGACAAAATTGTTCGCTAACCAAAATATTGCTAGGGCTAATTTTTAGATATATCAGATTCAGAAAATTTTACAAGATTTTTGTAATTCCTAAAGCATCCGAATTTTGGGAATTCCCAAATATTCTTCAAATTTCATAGTTACAAAATATTCATATGCTTTTATTTTTTATTTTTTATTTTTTGTTTATTGTTTTTTCATATTTTTATTGAGCACTCATACGATTACAAAGAATTAAATAAAAATTCCATGACCAAAAGTGACAGAAACTGCTGTCATAACAGGAAAGTAAAGTTCATCTTACTAGAAACAAGAAACCAAGAAAAAGGGAAACAAAATTAGAATAACCCTAATCATTCTGCATCAGCTTGTGGGATAATCCAGGTATTATCCTGGCAGCACCAGACTTAAGGTAAGGGTTGTTTTGAAAGGTTATGTTGGGCTATAGGTAACCTGAGAGAGAGATCACTACGTATGCATGACTCACAATGGAGTTTCTAAAACACCTAAACTCCTGTTCCACAACTTTGGTAGTGTATTTTCCTTTCTCCAGTTTGCCTTAAGGATCTCATCCAATCTTTGCCGGAGCCACCCAACTTCCATATTTACCTTTTGGAGATCACCTTTGTTTCTCCGATACTCCAAAAATCCACACATGTCTGTATTGGATACTCAAATACTCCCACGATACTTCTTGGATATGTGTCCGATAATTCAAATCCGTATCCATTGACTTTTAGATATCTGTATCAATCGACACACGTATCCTAAAGTCAACGTAATGATTAATTGCAATTTGTCAAAAGAAGTTGGGTTTATTGTAATTTTAAGAACTAATTAGTCAATATAGGGGATCCTAAGTTTGAATTCCTGAAAATACAACCTCCCAATATTAAGTTGAACTGCACATGTTGGGCTTTAATGGAGGAGAGAGTGTTTAGAATATGAAATAATTGTCCGCCCAAATCAAATTAGCCTAAGTGTTTGGGAATGATGGTAAACCAACAAACTTTATCCATATCAACTAATTTCAACCATTCAAGAAAACACAAATCCAACGAAACAGAGGCTTTAGCTAATTCTTACCCTTCTCACTCTGAAAATTTATAGCATTGCTATAAGGCTTTAAATGCCTAAGGTGTTTTTTTTTTTTGGTTACATGGGGAGGAAAGAAACCCTTAGGTTTCGATCCTGGGTGCCAAGCAGGGGGGTAGGGGAGGGCCACAACCACTGTGGTAATCCCGCATTGGTAATGCCTAAGGTGTTTTTTTTTTTGGTTACATGGGGAGGAAAGAAACCCTTAGGTTTCGATCCTGGGTGCCAAGCAGGGGGGTAGGGGAGGGCCACAACCACTGTGGTAATCCCGCATTGGTAATGCCTAAGGTGTTTTGATACTACATGGTAATGGCATTATGTCTTTGCAAACAACACCTTGCTGTTGCATCTTAGACAGTTCTATCTTATTTTTATAGAAAGAAAACAGAAAAATAACCTTAAAAACTGCTGTATCCCAGTCCCTTTCAGCAAGGACAATCTTTCAAATCCTCAATATGGGACACCTACAATGCCTAAAATCTAACCATATTCTATAAAAAAATCCACCCCCTCCCCACTTTTTACCTTCACAGATGCTGCTATTTCGCTCCAACTAGACCACCCAAAAAAATAGTCAAAACTCTACAATCTCATGAAACCTTTGCATCGTTCCCTCCACCAAAAGAGCAAAAGGTCCCAATAAATAGTAATGTACATGCACGGAGGAACCACCCAACACAATTTTGCTTCGCAGAAAAGCTTGAATTATTAATTCAAAGCTATAGGAAAATCAAGGAAGGTTATGCATTTTATTTACATATGTTATAAATAAAAAATTCTGCCTAGTGCTAATAAGTTAATTACACATTTTCCATGTTTACTACAAATTCAATTCATTTTTTCACTGAAGCTTTTTCCTCCTTTGACTGAGAAATTAATAATCTAGCATCGAGTCAATATAATCACAATCACCAAAAAAGATTATTAGATACACTATTTGGCACATAGTAAGGAAAAATTATAAGATAAGTAAGAGTCACAGAGTCTCATTTATAAGATAATCTCGTTTCACATGCAATTGAAAAGTGGAAAAAATGTTAATCAAAATACAAAATATTCTACATTCAATTTTTTTCAATAGAATCCAAAAAATTTAAGCCTAAACATTCCATTATCTTGCAGAAATTGTCAAATATATGATCTAGGCCATAAAGATACGATAGAGAGGGAAAGAAGGCCATTTATTAATTACCAACTTACCTTCCATAATCCATCACTTGCTAATATAACAAATTCAATAGTAGAGCCTACGGGCACATGTCTTACATCAGGCTCTGAACTCAAATGTGCTTTAAGGCTTTGATCCCCAAAAGCACGTGCAACTGCAAGTTGACCATTAACTCTAGGTACATCTCCTGAAAGAGTATTAGAATATTAATCTAAGTAAGGAAAGAAAAAAAAAATCTAATTATATACTAAAGAGCGAAAGAAAAATTATACAAGTGGTAAGAAATTAAGAATCCCACTATCAATTATATACTGATATATAAACAAGCTCGGTAATAAGGTTAAATGAATTAAGTTAAATATCTTTACCCGGAAGAGTAGTCACAAAACCACCTTGCTTCTCAATCCTTCTTCGCTCAGTATGTGGCTCATGGTCCACAGTAAGTTGGTTTGCAGAACCCCTCTCACACACAACAGCTCTTGAGTCACCAATATTTGCCACCCATAAGTCTTTGCCGTCAATGACTATTGCAGTTACTGCAGTCGACCCACCCGGCCCTAATTGCATGGAATTATCTAAAATAAACTTATCTGTGGAGCAGTAAGCATTCCTTATTGCTGTCTTGGGGTCTTTCCAGAAACTCGGCTGTATCATATACATAAAAGAAGAAAAAAAACAAATTGACCAAATAAAGTGATTTGAGAGCATCAACAGTTACAGGTTTCAATACAAATGTACTGACCAGATAAGGAAAGAACTACTGAGTCTTGTAATTGACTTAATATAAATAGTCATTGGGCAACGAGAAACCTAAAGTTGGTATGAATATTTGAGTACAAATATTGCATGGACAAGGACGGAGAATGGGCTAAATCCTATCTTGGTTACAATTCAGATTACAATTTCAGTTCAAATAAAGAAATCATGATTGTACGGGGAAGATAACCAACTAAGTATGCAACCAGTAATGACATTCTTAATACTACCGTAAGTGTTATAGTTGAAAAACAAAAACAACAGAAAGATAAATCAAATTATTAGGAAAGCAGCAAAACTCTTTCTCTTTTTCTTTTGTCTGTTATTTGTGTACGTACACAAGAATATGGAATGGGTGGGAAGGTATACCTCTTCAATTATGTTGTTGAAAAGGTTTTCTTTCAAGTAAGTAGGGACGCGATCGCCCAAATGACCATCGAAGATAGCAAACAATCCAAGGACGTGGTTTTTTCTTTTTCTGTACTCAGCAACATGGTAGTCTTCCATATCATGACCAGATTTTCCTTGGACTAAATGGAACCCATGGGCCACTCTGATAGAAGAGGACTTGCTTCTACCTTTTCCTGAGTCTGAAGATGACGAATTAAGGCATGTAACATTCTGCAATGCCAATTAAACAAATTATGATGATAAGTCTAAATTGATCACAGTAATATGGGGGCTTTCTACTTCTCGCTCGGCATGGTTGATTAGCTCTCAATCTTTTAGGAATCAGGATGGTGGAAATGTCTGTGGATATGGGATTTGTAAGTACAAGGTTGAAACAAATTCCACTAACAGAAAGGGATGCACAATAGTTATAGCCCATAGTATGAATAAACTATAGTTATAGAATTAAGGCATGTAGCATTCTGCAAGCCAAATTGGACAGAAGGGGAGCTTAGGGCTTAGCATAGATTGCTATTGTAAAACCCTAGTAATTAACAAGCGCACTCCAGGGCAGGGTATGGATAAGCCAGCAGCTGTAATTAAAATTGAATTCAAGGAGACAAAGAATTCTAAGTTAAAGTGAAGTTGAGATCGAAAGTAAACATCCAGAAGTAGTTGTACGTAAAATAATAGAAACAATTCTCAGCAATCAAAGAGAGAGAGACCTTTATCTTGTCAAGGAAGCTGGTTCCTCTAGTGATGCTGGAAGCTGAAGCTTCTGTTTCTTCTGACTTCTTACTCATTTCTCAGACAATCATAGAAAGATAAGAGGTTCTTGCTTCTATATCACAACAGATTTCTCAGAGAGAAGTCAATCAATATTGGATTGTTCACGAAATTTAGGAATTGATTACTAATTGCTACTTTTCTCTTGGGAGACGAAGAAGAAGAATACGATGGACAACTGTCGTAAGTACGAATAAGTGACACAAGCACACGCGTATTTGGAATTTTCCAAATATTTCACAATACCACCCTGTCTGACTCGAGAAGGCGTTGAAATTAAATCAGGAGTTGAATGTAGTAGAAGATATTGACCTATTCTCCGCGTGGGCTCCACATCAAACCGAATCCACCCACAACCCTTCAGTCTTTGTTTTGCACCCGGGCCTGCTAGTTGCTGATCTTGCTCTGCTGCTTCCGGACAGTCTCTCAGCTGAATATTTGAATGTATTTTCAGACGTTTTATCTCCAACTATAATCCTAATCGAAATTAATTCTCTGAACTAAAAAGTCAGCTAATTTAGCACACGAATTTATTAAAACAGCCAATTTAGCCCATACCGTTAAATTTTTTGAATTTAATTCATTTTTCTGTCCAAAAAGTCACATGTCTTTCTGGTGACTTACTATTTAATTTAGGTTTATTTACTATTTCACCCCCTGAAATGGACGCTCAGTCTCACTTTAGTCCTTTAAACTGAAATTTTCTTACTTAACCCTCTGAATCTCTAAAAATTGCTAAAATTTTCTCACTTTACCACTTCTGTTCATTTCCATCCATAAAACCGTTATATGTGCTAACGTAACATTGGCATTTTAGTAATTTTAGCTCCTTATCTTCTCTATGATTGCCCATGCCTCGTGAGCATACTTAACGATTTTGTGGATGGAAAAGGATGAAAATGGTAAAGTGAGAAAATTTCAGCAATTTGTAGAGATTTAGAGGATTAAGTGAGAAAATTGCAATTTAAGGGAGTAAAATGAAACAGAGCATTTGTTTTATAGGGTGAAATAATAAATAAGCATTTAATTTATTATTATTATTATTAAAAACTAAAATATTTAAAGCACTATATAATTTCCACATTTGAAGTGGAGCATAAAAAGTTTTTTTTTTTTAAAAATAAAATAAAAATACAAGCGATGGTTTAAACTAAATTTCTCTCACACGCTACTAGTGCCATGGGGGTTTGAACCAAAGAACAATGTCAAGACCATTTTTCACTATGTTAAGACCCGTTAGGTGTAGCATAAAAAGATTTTAATTTTTGAACTTGGGAGTCTTTGCTACGCAATGAATAACAAGGGATATCAAAGATTGGTTGTCCATGAATCGCTTTTGCGTGTATTTTTTTTCTTTCTCATTTCTATAATTTTCAATTTCATGTCAATGGAATCAATGCCGTAAAACCCTGTGCACATCCAAGGACAAAAGATTGACAAGCTATATACATTCTCTTGTTGCCTAAGAGAGCATATGGAAATGAAATTCAAGATACAATCGGACATCAAAATCCAGCCCAAAAAACTTTAAAACCAATGAATATAGGGACCAGCAATCCGGAAGCTTCAAACTTCATTCACCTGGAGAGAAATTTATCATGTGTCAGATACTGCAAAAACCATGCATGTGCACGTGTGCAGAGAGAGAACTAATTAACAACACATGAGCAGTACTCGTTCAAAACAGTTGGAATAATACATCAAAAGAGAAAATTAATGTCTTTAAAGTTTGGCAGAGGTAAGTCGCGCTCTTTCAGAAAGATCACAATTCTGATAATTGGAATTTAGCTAAAAGCAAGCATACTCTTGATGAATAGATGATTTAACCTATCTAACACAATAATGAGCTAACACATTATTTACTTTCTCAATTTCATTAAGGACATATACTGCCTCCATCCCCCTAGATATCTCCTAACTTTTCGGTGGAAAGGTTCACCTTCTAAAATCCTTTATGTTGCCCAGCCACAACCCAAAAGTTTACCTTTTTACCTTTCCCCTGAGATATTTAGACATAGCATGGTTATGAGTGTTGAAGAACTCACCTCATATTGTTTTCACATTGGAGAACAAGGAAAATATGAAGGGCTTGAACAGGAAACCACCAATCAATTAGAAACATAAAAGGTATGAAAGCCAGCTACGCCATCTTTAATGCCTGCTTTAATTGTGAAAATGCTGAGGGATGCATGCATCCAATGGCCTTATTAAAAGATTCTCCATGAAGGGTAGCACATGTTTGAAGATTTTCCCTCACAGAAGCGTCTAGAGACATTTGGTTGATAGGGTCTGCAAACTTGAGCTATAGTAGGATATAATAACTTCATCAGGAAAAAATTACCTCATGAATTTATTTAATCAGCGACTACAGCAATCACAGGTAATATCAGAAGAGTGCCATGGAACACAAAGGAGAAGAAGGAAGGGTGGTTCACCTGTCTTCTTCTGAATTCTTTACTCGGAATGGTGCCCTTACTAAGGGATCCGCTGGAGGTTATATTATCACCACTGTCGTTGATTGGGAAAAATTTATGAGAAATATAGTTGTTTGATATGGGCAAGCAAATCAAAGTAGAATCACAAGGGATCTAACCTTGACTCCTCTGTTAAGTCATCATTGCCACCCAAAATTACAGTTGTACACACACTGCATGTATAAATAAGCAACATTTTATAAAGATCATCCAATAATCAGAAAAGAGATGATTGACCGAATTCATGGTGAAACTCATACCTCAGGATCTGATCAAGTTTGTTGAGGACTTGAGGAAGTCTTAATGTCAGAATTATAGAAAGAGCTAAGCCATATGTCTTCCTTTGGATGGAAGATACATTGTCTGCCTGTGACCAAAATTTAATTTTTTTTTTGACAAACACACCAGAAAGGCAATAAGAAATTAATTTACAGAAAATCCTACTCATTCCCATTTATTCATTTTCCATAAGAAAATCTTTAATTCTTCACTTCAACATGTATAGAGCACAAGAACTGATGTAGGACACGGGTGAATTGAGTATTTAGGTAGTACAGAAAATAGAACAAAAGGGATAGGTCTGGAAACACTCCAGGGGTTTGGCTTCACACCAAGTAGTCTCCAATCTCTGGAAAGTAAACTTTTCTTAATATCTCAAATCTGGATTTTAAAGAACCACATGGGGGGTATTTATAGCAAACTAAAACCTAGAGAGAATATGATAAAAATCCCTCACTAAAAACAGAAATCCTAATCCACCGAGGAACTAAGTAAAATAAACTAGGAAACTTAAATCAAATCCTACTAAAAATCTGGAAACTAAAATCCTAGTGAAATCTGGAAAACTAGAGAATCTAGGCAACTAATAAATCAGGAAACTAACTAATGATGTCCGCATCAAGAACTTTTCTCCATTTACTATCTGTGTATCGTACTACAAACAAAGATGATGACAATTATTCTCCTGCACATTTGTTAACCAGGAATGCTATTATGCATCATGAAGTGCCAACAGTGCAAGGTGGTTGTGTTTATTTTTCAAATGGATAAACTATCCGTGGTAGTTCAACTCTACAATAAGAAAGATAGTGACACCAAAAAGGGCCAAAACAACGACACCTGGAGTGAGCTATGCTATGCTCTCCGGCATAGCACATTATCTCTTATTAGGGTTGCCTTGGCACTATAAATATATTTTGACCACACACATTACAACAATCATATATTTAACAAAAATGCGTTAAATGTACAATGTATTATGAATGTAGAATTTAACATTATATTACAGAATACAGAAAAATTAATGGCCTGTTTGGTAACCTTTTTCGTTTTTAGGTTTCATTTTTTATTGTTAGATATAGAAAGGAAATATATGGGAGAGGGAGAGATGAAAAAGGGCGGAGGAAGGAAAAATAGAAAACTTAGAAAAACTAATTTCAGAGATAATTCCTTTCGATTAACTATAGAGCAAAATGACTTTATATAAAATATATTAGACTCTGAAAGAACAATGTCTACAAGCACTACTGAGTTATAACAATACGTCTTGTTCTCATAAAAAACAAACAATGCACAGATACTCTAGGGGTGGGCATTTTATCTGACCCACCAGACAAACCTGTCTGATCCAACCCAAGCCGTCTGGTTTCGTTTTCTGTCATGTGGCGAGTTGAATTGAATCAATGCCTTTTCAACCCACCAAAGTCTACTCATTGCTGGATTAGGTCATTTTAATACCCAAAATAACAAACTTGAAACAAGATTACATGAACTCGAAACAGCATTATATGATTTTGAAAAAAGTCCTTCGTTGTGCTTGATAGGAATGGAACCTAGGACTTGTTCAGTCTTAGGATGCCATTTGCCCAACTCATCTACGCTGAGTTTGGTGTTAAGAGCATGCCTCTGTTATATTTCACCTAGAGGAGCTTTTACTCATTTGTCTTCTGCACAACAAAGTTTCTTGCAATGTGTTGTTGGGCAGTGTTTGGTGTTAAAAGCATGCCTATATTATATTTCACCTATAGGAGCTTTTACTTGTCTGTCTTCTGCCCAACGAAGTTTCTTGCAATTTCTTGTTGGGCTTGTATGGGCTCTTGGACCTATTAAGTTATTCTTTTTGAACCTATATTTTATTTAAAGTCTATATTATAAACTGATTTGCTACCACCTGGCGACCTGTTTTTATCGGGCAGGGTTGGCTTGGCTAATTTTTTGGTTAGTGCTGGGTTGTGACAATTTGGAATCAGTTTCAGATAGGACTCCGACCAAACAGAGCACACTCCTATGCATGAAAATATATATTGCAAATTCATAGAACACCCTACACTGGTGTCTCGGAACATGCATGATACAAATGGTCGGATATAGTAAGAGAGAAAAATCAACATTCCTCAGAAGTATCCTTGTATAGAGACGCATGTTGTACTGTACTAACCTTGTCAAGCCATATGTCAACAAGACAAAGAAGTACATTTTCCTCAGTTGGGATACCCGAACTCTGAAGGAGCAACAAAAGTGATGGTTCTGATGTCAAGTGGGCTAGGTAATTGGTATTCATGACCAAAATTCTTGCCAGGATGGCAGCTGAAGATGCTTTAACAGCTGTCTTAGAAGGATCTTGGTCGTCGCCTCCACTCAAACATATAACAATTAATTTCTAGCAACATTGAACAGAAAAGAATTCTAGCTTTAAGAAGGGCTCCCAAAGGCATAACATTATGTAATTTCTTTCTTGGGGAAAAAAATGAAATACTTCAAAATAAGATAATCAAAGATCTAAGAGCAAAGGACCTCACTTGTAATGTACTGCTGATCAATTGGGGCACTTCTAACGGGAAACACTGCAAAGCAACAAAAACGAGTTGGTATTTAAAAGGATGAATATATTGAGGTCCATCATAATAGTGCCGGTTCTAAGATCATAAAAGATTATTTGTTTATGCAATCTATAGAAAAACGTGTCTATAACATAATAACTCGAAATTCTGTACAAGTTGAAAGCTTTGGCAGTTCCAACTTTCGCAGTGTTTAGGAGTAGACGAAGCATGTAGTAATAGGACAATAACAAAGGCGTAGTTGATTCCCCGAGTTGTCTAAATGGCCTGTTATTCAACTGTCTAATCTTTACTTGCAAGTTTTGAACAGTACCTGTATTAGAATATCAATGACAGGAAGAGTTGAAAGTAGTCCTCTATCATTGACATTTCCAACAACCAGATCTAGAATTTGAGCAACACTTGAAGCATGCATGCTTAGAAATTCAGATCCGCCTAAGATAATGTAATCCTCAGTTATATTGACAGCAACCTGCAATGAAGTTTGAGTTAAGATATTATAAAGTACAAACATAACAAAGCATAACAGAATAAATGCCAAGAAAAAGAGAAGGGAGGGGGGAAGGAGAGCGAAGAAAAACTTCCAACATATAAATTTTTTGGGAAAAGATTGGAGCAAACAAAAGCCAAGAAATGAAGATAATGGAACTGAAGAGAAGACAGCTACTCAAATAGGACTCCCATATAGTTAGCAAGATTTTTTTTTTCTTTTTTTTCTTTCTTGAAAAGGAGAAATTATATTTCATAAAAAACACCATACAGAAAATTGGAAAAGTAATCCACCAATAACAGAAAGAAACAAGAAAACTACTACAGAGATCTACCACTATGTGAAAAAACCAATCCTAATACTTGGTTTGCATAAGTAATGTGGTTTAGATTCAGTTTGAGTATTACTTTGTAAAATAAGTTATTAATAACATGGAGATCAAAAATTAGCATTGAACAAATGGAGAACAGCAGCCCTTACCAGCATTGTAAACATAGAAAAGTCATTTTAATTTAAATATAATCCACCTCAAGAAAAAAGGTCAGAGATACATCTTTGCAATTCACAAAATAACAAAATCAATATTGGACTACACTGATGGAAACAATGTCAAATTTCTTGTCATCAAAATATCCATTAAACCCTGCTTTACGTTATTCTTCAAGAAAACTGTTCTACCAACTTCGGTTATGCTTTTCCTGAAGGTGTCCTTTGCTTGGCAAATATGATATGGTCCTTAGATTCCAATCAAATGGAAATTTCAAAAGTGGAGTATCTCTATTTCCAGTTCTGTTATACAAGCCAGCAATAAGGGCATCTCCAAAGGAGATGTCAAATTGCCACGTGGACTAAATGACAAGAATTGAAGGAAAAAATTGCTCCAACAGAGTAATTTTGGATTTACCCTCGTCTCCATGTATTACAATATGTTTCCAGTCAAAAAATCATAACCATGTACCAAACTTTGTAAGTAAAATTCCCATGTAATAGGAGGCATAGGAGCTGGAAATTTGATTATGAGGAATGTGGCTTTGGCAAGCAAGTGGTTGAAGAGATTTCTAAAGATGTGAAATCGCTTGACCTATTTCCAAAGTTGTTGTTTGATAAAATGATGAATGAAATTAACATACATGATAACATAGTCAATAAAACCAGATTTTGGATGCAGTATTGGTGGCAAACGAAGTCGTTGAGGAGACCAAAAAGCTTAATAAATTTGGGCTAGTCTTCAAAATTGACTTTGAGAAGGCTTATGACCATGTAGAGTGGATTTTCTTAGATGAAGTTCTGGCCAGAAAAGGAATCGGATCAAGATTGAGAAAGTGGGTGAGAGGGTACTTGGATTCTGTTAATTTCTCAATCATGATAAATGGGAAGTCACGAGGCAAATTTAAGGCTTCTAGAGGGGTGAGGCAAGGAGATCCATTATCATCTTTTCTGTTCACTGTGGTGATTGACGTGCTGAGCTGCCTTTTAGATGCAGCACAACATCATAATTTGATCCACGGTCTATTCATAGGACGTGATCGAGTTGAGGTGTCTCATCTACAATTTGCAGACGACACCATCTTCTTTCTGGATGACAAGGAGGAGTATTGGTTTAACCTTTTTGACCTGCTTGATAACTTTTGTTCAGCTTCTGGTATGAAAATTAATAACTCTAAATCTTCAGTATTGGGAATTAACTGTAGCGGACCTTATTTGGCAAGGTTGGCCGCTGATTGGGGATGCGAGGTAGGAAACTGGCCTATGACTTATTTGGGACTCCCTCTCGGTGGAAATCCTAGAGCTATTGTTTTCTGGGAACTGATGATAGAACAGATTGAAACAAGACTTCAAAAATGGAAAAAAGCCTTCCTATCAAAAGGTGGAAGATTAACTCTGATTCAGGCAGTGTTAAGTAATATGCCTACATACTTCATGTCCCTTTTCAAAATGCCTAATCGGGTGATCAAAAAAGTGGAGATGATTATGAGAAACTTTCTTTGGGAAGGTACGGAAGAAGGAAAGAGGGACTATCTGGTAAAGTGGGATATTGTGACCAAACCTACGCTGCAAGGCGGTTTGGGTGCATGGGCTTTGAAAGAAAAAAATGAAGCTTTGATGGCTAAATGGTTGTGGCGATTCCCGCTGGAGCCTCAGTCTTTGTGGAATAATATCATTAAAAGCAAATACGGGACATCTTCGAATGGTTGAGATGCTAATTCTGGTACTATTGGTTTCTCACGTAACCCTTGGAAGGACATCTCTTATGGGTACCAGACCTTTCATGAATGTTGTAGCTTGGTGGTTGACAATGGAAATAGAGTGAGATTTTGGGAGGATTCATGGCTGAACAAAGGAGTGCTAAAGAATCTATTTCCTAGATTGTTTGCACTGTCCATAAAACAACTACTAAGCATTTCACATTCCGAGGATATCAACTCCGTTCTTGTTAATTGGGATTTCGGGTTCAGAAGAAACCTGAATGACAGGGAGGTAGATGAAGTTATAAGTTTGTTGGATATCCTAGGCAAGGATTAAAATATCGGCCGTGCAGATAATATCGGGCCTCCAATTTACAGATATTTCGAGGGATATATCGTTATCGTTTTAGGTATCGGGAAAAAATCAACAAAAATGACAGATATAGGCATTGAAACACATAAGTTTAGTGTAAAACTTTCATAGATGTTATGTACATTATCAATGAATGTATTGAACAAATAAAACTCAAAATTTACTAATGATAAGATATACATATGACGAAATATAAGTAGTATGTAATGCGCGTTAATGAAAAGTTTGAAAATAAAATGTTGATTAGAATGAATAAACCATGCATAAATCCATAGTTTGTTTAAACATTGGATTACAATTTAGATAAGTGTCCAACTACATAAATGAAGAGCTCCTATGAGGTTCAAACAATGAGAAACAACCATCTAGATTCATACAATAGTCATACCAAGTCATGTAACCTGAGCAGTTTGTAAGCCATGTTTGAACATAGTGCACATAGGTCTCTCTTGAGCTCCCTACTGTCCTCCCATATATGGGATAGTTAGGATTAACCCAACTAGTAGGTCCATAATCTGTTTCATCATCTTGAGCTCCGTAACTAGTTCCACTATAATCAAACATGACATAACCATAGCCATCAAAAGATTCATTTGAGTTAGTACTAGGTCTAGTTCTTATGCTCATAGATCCAAAACTGATCGCCATGTCCTCTTTAGATGGATTGATGTGGGCAGTGGACTGTGCACAGATTCTTCATATTAATAATTTATAGGGTTCTGGGCAAGGATTAGCTATTTTTGGGTTTCAATTTTCTTGATAATATGATACAGCAGCGACGTTGCCTTAGTGATAGCCACACATCAACTTCATTAAACTGATAAGAATACATCACTACCACATCTGAACTGCCCCTATGCAAAACTAAGAAACTAAGAAACTCAAAAGACATAACCCAAACTCCCCCTGGTTTTGAAACAGAGGAGAAGACCCATAGATGAAGATAACCCAGAGAAGAAGACCCCTTAGAATAAGAAGGTCCGAAGAAGAAACCAAGAGAAGAAGACCTGGAGAAGATCTGATTAACTCCAGGAGCGGGGTGGGGCAGGTGGGGTCTTCATGTTCTTTAAAAATAAAAATAAAAAATAAAAAAAAAATCCCAGTAGGTCCTCAAGGTGTGTGTGGCTCACCTTTTATCCAGAAGCATACGTTTTCCTCAATAAGGTGAGCGAGACGCCTTTGAAAACACTACTAAGAGATGTTGTCTTGTATGCTGTCTAGATGGTGGACACACTATTTTGTAACTTATCGACTTTAATGAAGTCCTTGTTTCTCATAAAAGTTAAAAAGTTTTTTGATATGTTGATAATGCACAAACATGTAAACCTGTCTCTAAATTTTCGAAACCAATGCAAATGGTTATTACTATAACTAGTTAATTACAGTGCAACTAATACCAGTGTACCCCACGCTATACTAAGCATCCATAGGTTGGCAGATTGAGAGTGAAAGTTAAATTATAAAATAACACACGATATCAGACAAGTTCCAGAACAATAAGACCAGAAAATATGCAGAACAGACAGGCCCTGCAGGATCAAAATTTCTAACCTGCAAGTGATCGAAACTTCTTTCCATGATTTTTACTACACAAGGGAAGTATGCTAGTAGTTGAGGCACCATCGAAGGAGCATGAGAAAGTGTGGCTTCCCATAACTGCACATTAAGCTAACTGCATTTAGCATGAAAATTACAATGATAATGTCAGCTGGTAAAATATTAAAGACACTTAAATAGGCAAACCAGCATGCTGTCCTCTAGAAGATTGAGTTCATCCGGGCTATCTATATCAATTCCCTTTTGCAGAATAGGCAGTAATATGTCATAGCAAATTGGCGACTGGTAGCCAAGTGCAACCACAAAGTTTCTCAAAGCAACAAGAAGTTGAATCTGCAGAAGACATTCACCGGAAGATTCCTCCCAAACCTTTGCAAAGAAACAAAAGAAAAAAATTATCAAATGTGTGTGTGTGTGTGTAAGGGAGAGAGATAGGGGGGGAGAGAGAAATCAAAGCATTCTGCTTGCCTATCTGTTCTGAACTTTTAAACAACCAAGTTACTCAACAGTATCGCATGTTTTTCCAAAATCAATTTTAAAAATTATTCCTTTCTAGTATGTTAGGTACTGTGACATTTAGAACAGTAGAAGAAACAATAGAAGACTGAAGACAAAATAAATGTTCTCATACCTTCTGAAAAAATAGAATCAGCTTGTTTGCAAATGGCATAACGTCACTCATGTGTCCAATAAGAATAGAAATCAAGTTCAAAACCTGAACCTGAAAATAAAGGAAAGTGAATCGCAACTTTTGTTAAACCACAAGAAATATGTGAAAAAATGCATACTATAATTTCTTATCACAAATTATAAAGATTTTTCTTATGAAATTCAAACCTTTAAATAAAACAGGACCCTGCCACAACTTCTATGTTTTTTTTAAGAAACAGAATTTTATTATGTTAAACCACGAGAATTTTATTGCATAAAACAATAAAATACAGTGGTGGCCAAGATGGCCACAAAAAGAAAACTAAACAGAGATATAACAGCTAGATAAAACAAACTCCTAAACTTCTAGCAAAAGAAAACATGGAAAACTAGCAAATGGCTGCTTTCCAATCTAGCCAAATAATCCAAACAGATAAATCTCCTAGTAACTCCACAAGTGTAGTCTTCAAAAATCAATCTAATTCTTTCCAACCAAAAAAAAAAACAGCCAATACAATGCATCCCCATAAAACCTTGGCTTTCTTCCCCTTTCTTAGATTTATGCTTCTTTGACATTGAGGGGCCAAGGCAGGAATTCGGTCTCCTTTGAATCATGTCACAAGTGTTGTTGACCTTCCTTCCCATGAGCCACAAACCAAGTAAGACCGTTCACTTCGCAGGGGGAGAGAGTTTTATTTTTTTTGGGCCGGGGGGGGGGGG